TATATATATACTGAAGGTATGTTGTTCTATTTTGGGCACAAACAACTGAATATTCATGAGATTGCGCACTCATTGCTCATTGTTCTGACAGTTGGTAAATGCATTTTCAGTGTGGCAAAATGTCCTAAACTAAGCTTTAGAGAGTACGACTTTTTTGTTTTATTTTGTTCTCAAAGTGGTCTGGAGGAACAGAACTCCAAACTTTATGATTATCATTAATTGATTGATCAGTTTAGATGACAAAACCCATTTGTAGGCAAACATAAAATAAGAACACATTTATCTTTTGATCTATTTATGGACTGTTTTTTATTTTATTTTATTTTATTTTCGTTATTTAGCCATAAACACTGCCTTTTGTAGCACAAGGGGAACACAATGTAAGAAATCAACCAGCTACATGTCATATTTTACTAAAATGCTTCACTTTCTTTTTTATTTGTTTTTCATTCATTGCATAAAGTAACAAGTGGCAACTTTACTCAGCGCTAAATAAAGTGTCAGACTTTATGGTTGTATATTGCAAACAGCTTGGTTTGATTATCTATGAAAATGCTGATCTACATGGATTTGTTCACACAATCACCTTCATAGCTCAGTTTGAAAGATGCACCAAGTTTAACACCAAATGACAGATTTACAGCCAAAATGCTTCAGTGATTAAATAAGTCAGAGGATGAAGTTTTCACAGGTTATAATACAACAATTATGTGATTTTAACTCATATACACTTGTGAGGATGTGTTTTGTAATTCTGTGTTGTTTCCCTCTTGTGTCCTCCTTGCATCAGTACACATTCTCCTCAGTCTGTTTACCTGTTCAATCATTATCCTCACCTGTTTAGTAGTTCCCAATTAGTGTTTTTCACCAGGTGTTGTTCATTTCCTCATTCCCTCAGTTTGTGTTTAATCCTGGTTCAGTTCTCATTTCCTCACTGGTTTATTGTTTGGTTTCTACCCACTGTTATGTTTCGCCTCGTCGTTCTCGTTATTCGTTTTTTTCTCTTTGTTGTTTTTTTTGCTGCCTCGACAGCTTGTGTTTTATTTTTATTAAATAAACATTTTTACTTATTGTAAAACTCTTACCTCCGTCCGACTTTGGGTTCTTTTCCTTGCAAAACATGACAACACTGCCTGGCCAAAAAAATAAAAAGGAAAAATAAAAATGCCTGTCCCATCAGGGAAGAAAAAAAAACCATTGATGGAATAACCTGGTCATTCAGTATATTCAGGTAGTCAGCTGAGCTCAGTCTTTGAGCACATACTGTTGCTGAACCTGGACCTGGCCAACTGCAGCAACCCCACATCATAGCACTGACTCAMCAGGCTTGTACAGTAGGYACTAGGCCTGAAGAGTGCATCACTTCATCTGCTTTTCTTCTTAYCCTGATGCACCCATCACTCTGGACTCATCAGACCATGACCTTCTTCCATTGTTCCAGAATCCAATCTTTATGCTCCTTAGCAAATTGAAGCTTTWTTTCCTGTTAGCCTYAATGATTAGTGGTTTTMTTAAGGCTACACTGTTCACTCCCAATTCCTCGAGYTCCCTTTGCATTGTACCTGTAGAAATGTTCATATTTTCACTACTAAACATAACCCTGTTGTTTTTCTTCGATTTGATTTCTCCAAACATTTTAGTAATTGCCATTACCTATCATTCAACATTTCTTCCTTAGAGAYGATGAACCCCACTATCCTTTTTAATAATGCAKTGGACAGTTTTTAACCCAWTTTTAATGGTTTCTGCAATCACCCTATKTGTTTCCTCTGCTTGATGCTTGCCGATGATTTGACACTTCTCATTGACATATTTTCMATGACCAAGGGATGTGTCTTTCAACATGGTGGTTTAAGAAATGAAAAGCAACTCATTGCACCAGTTGGGGTGAAAAACCTGTTGTCCACTGCAAGATAATCGTTGATACAGTAATAATCCAATAGGAGGCTCATACCTATYTGCTTAGTTAAAATCCATAGGAGCATTTTTTTTCCTTGGGCCAGGCAGTGTGTAAGATGCATTAAATGTGCAAACAGGACAAGTCAAAACTAAATCATGTTACAATCAAATGAATTCAACCATTATTGGAATAGTTACCTTGAAGAAAAAAGGCAGTTTTGATAGTAAAGGGAATGGGTTAACGTGCATATCATTTTATAAAATGATATTAAGTTCATAGTTTAAGGCAACAACGTTATACCCATGAAGCAGGAYATAGAGATAGATCAGAGCCGGAGCAGAAAACCCCAAAGCCGTGCAGCAGCCACATGAGTGAGCAATAATTGGAGAGTGTAGAGCAAGGTAAAGCTGGCAAGTAATGTTAGGCAGCCAAGCTCAGCAAGGAGAGACAGACCTGAGGCAAAAAGTAGGGACAGAATATGTCAAATAGGAGCAACTCACGGACAACAGGGAAACAGCTTTCCTTTGCTTCAGGCTTCACCAAATTGTCAAAACTAATAATTTAGTGAAGCCTGCAAAGTAAGAGTTGTTACAGTTCAAACTTACCAGTGGATCACCAATGTGTTGGTAGATTTGCTGTAGGTGTTTCGCATCAAGACAGAGCGGAGGAAACTGGAAAAGAACAAGAAAGGAAAAAAAAACATTTTAGATGAAAACGGGGCTATAACAATATTATATATGTATAACTTTGTTAAGGAACCAAGAATAAACTGTGCCAGTAATTGGCCTGGTATGACTCCTCTTCCTTGATAGCTTTTCATTATAAATGAGATGAAAAGATGTAAATAAACACTTGGGGAAGTTTTAAGCTGCTTCATGACATTTTTTTTTTGTTTATGTTGTTGAGCCAACAAATTTTTCAACTTATCAGAAGTCTACAGCATTTGCACACAAAAAAATAAAAATAAAAATTGAACATAAAATGATTTTTTTAAAGAAGTATAGACTAAAAGAAGCCTGCAGTTGAGCCATTAAGTTTATACCCCCCACTCTCAAAACACTTACCAAAACTGAAAACCATTTACACGTTCAGTAACTGAGGAGCGGGAAAGCATCATCACGTGTCTGCAGTGCGGACAATATACGCTCAATATCAGGACTTTTAAAATGAATGCAGATGAATCAAAGAAAGCAGCTGAAAAGATTGGCAGAGAACACAAAAAACAACATCATGATATGTTGTAGTTTTTCTGTTTCAAGGAAAACACATTGTTGTTTTAAAATTTACAGCACATTCAATGACAATTTACAGTTGACTTGATTACTTTTGACTGGGTTATTTTGATACATCCTCAAGTGTCCTTGCATGGTTTTATGATTTTTTTTTCATGAAAGAAAACATTTTTATGGATCCAGAAAATAGCACATTTGTTCATTTATTACCATGCCCAATAGGTACATAAACTTAACAAGGATAAAAATAAATAAATAAATCAACACATGCTTCTAATTTATACTGTATGTAGTTATTATGTGGAAAAAATACCAAGTTTTTAAATGTGGATGTTCGATTATGCAGCTGTCTTGTCTTTATAGCATTAGAGTTATTTGGCTTGGTGTTTATTTCTCAAAGAACTTTAGAAATGATGAGAAAAAATAAACCTAAATGTCATCAAATGTCACATAGTTTCTCACAAAGTGACTCTAAATCAGAATCTCAGCAAGAAGACACAATAAAAATATTGATGCTTGTTGTGTCACATTTAAAAATGCCTCAAGAGCCCAAACGTTAACACTACAGTCTACATTGCAATCACACTTTTTATTGTGTTTTTTTCTCCGCGTGTCGTGTTCAGATGACAGTATGTCTGTGTGATGACGGATGCATCCAGCAGCAGTGCGTGCAGTCACGCTTCAGTGTCTAGTAAGCAAGATTTTCTCAAGCAAAAACTTTCCCGCAGCATTGGGATGTCGCTGGAGTCAGCTGTAAATTGTTTGGGCCTYTGCTGTAAATAAATGGGACTCTTTATGTACGTGAAAGACTCTGTGTATGTGATGGATTATAATAGTGTGCGTGACGGTGAGAATGAATTTTCTCTCAACTGGTTTCTGATATTGAAAGCTGTTTGGGTTTGTGTAATTTATCACAGTAAACAGGGAACTTATCGTCTTTTTAAGAAGCATATTTTACATTACAGGAAAGATTCACATTTTAACATCAGGCTCACAATTTTTGCTAGGCCATAGCTTTTAAGAAAAACTGTGTCAGATGATGAAAACCTCAAATATCGGAGGAATTTACCTTTGTTCAGAGATGAAACTGATCTCTCTGTACTCAGAGGGTTTTGAAGTGGCCCATCACATTGTAGAATTGGTGTAAAATGGTCAGATAAATCAGTTTTCTGGATTTCTCCTCCTCAAAATGAACAAAGTGTGCTCTAGATCTCAGATAAAAGGAACTCTCCAGGTAAATCCAAAAGTCAGTTTTCGTTGTGTTGACTTATCTTTGCTAAACACAAAAGTACTTTTTAACGCAGCACTTGTTATAAAATGTTAGACTACAATTGCATGCACTTAAGATTACTTTTTTGTGACAATCATAGTAAATTTAAGAAGAGTTTTAAAATAATTCACACTTTTTCTGTTGGTTTATCTTGAAAATACAGAATTACATGAAGAAAATTGTGTCGAGATTTATGCTACTTAAAAAACTTTTTGTTTGTTTCTTTTCTTACTATTTTAATCATTCTCTTTCTTGGATTCTGATCAGAAACTGTGGCCATTAGAGTTTTTTCACCTGTTGATCCATGATTGGCTGACGCTCTGAGGAGCGCRGCTGCAGCAGGTTCCACTGATGAGCACCAGGGGTTTATTAGAYGGCACTGAAGAACAGGACCTCGCCGGAGCAACACATATCTATGGTATTTGTTCCTGGCCTGCCTAACCTGTGAATTATCTGAGAAGTACTTACTTGTGTTTTTTCTATGCTTAGTGAACTCGTTCTTGGTCCTGMRAAYCCATCTGGAAGATCTACTCCCCCTGCTCATCTGCCTGTCTGCCTCCAACTAAAAAGAGAAATACTCACCTGCCTCAACTCACCTGCTTCTCCTCCTCGCACCTGCAAACCAGAGATTACCAAACTTACCTTTGTGGATCCTCGTCTTCTTCTCCGAGCTGCTCCCCTGTTCTCCCCCCGTAAGCAAATCCTTTTTACTCATCTCAAAGATATCTACTACACTTAATCATCGATACTCACCTGGTCTCCTTCCTTTACAGCTGTCCCAACCCGTCCCCATCCTGTGCACTGTAAATAAAAACACTTATTGTTTATTTGGTCTCATGTGTTGTTGTTTYGTATCAGATCCGCTCCTCTTTGATCATTTCAATATCCTGATAGAAACAAGCAATAAAAACACCAAAAGCAGATAATAGCAATTTGGTGAAATGAAATCTCATTGAGAAATACTCATATGTGGCTTTATAGCAAGCGACTCTTTTAAAGTAATGAGAGAAATTAAAAATAYACCATTTTGAGAGTTGCTTATGATGTGGTTTAAATAGTGTTTACAGCTTAATAGCTTTGAAACAAAACATTATAGTTTTGCGCTGTAAAATAATGTTTTGTTTTATTGGCCAACAGTTTCTTCGTTGTTCTCTATTTGGGAAGGTGGGACGTAATCAAACTGACATTTAGATTGCACATTTTGAATCACATCACTGCAGAAACKTCACCTAAGGCTGCATGTTGCGCAACACTGCAGATGGATCAGTGTGGACTCACTAATGTATTACAAGGGGGGAAAGTTGCACATAAAATGCTGGACTTGCTGGATTTCACACACTTACGAACCTCAGGTGGCAGGACTCATGGAAGCTTTGGGAGGTTTTCATCTCTAAACTTGCTGTCTCAGCACTTTTCCTATATCCATCCTATTCCACCACTGTTTTTATGTGCCACCATTTTGAGAGCAGGCTAAATTGAAGTTTACAATCAGGGATGCTGATTGAAACGTCTAGCTTATTCATGTTGGCAGCTGTGTGGCATAGTTAAGAACCAAATACGTAATGGCTACCTTTTTTATGTGTTTGACCTATTTTAATGTTAGTACCAATTTCACAAGCATTCAGCCTCTTTTTAAGATGTGGGACTGTGTCATTTGCTAAAAGGTCCTTCTCCTCAGTGACATTTCTGTGTGATTTCACTCGTGCCCRCCGAGGTTTATACACACACACCAGTAGTTCTGATCATCAGCCTTTAATTCCAACACTTCTTTGATGTCCCTGGGTATCTTGGACCTTGAAAAGAACAAACAGCTGAATCAGATGACTTGTGCCTCTGTGGATCTTAAAGCTGCTGAGGAAATGTCATGCAGTGGAAATTACGCATGATCTAATAAATGGAGCTTTTTTTGTTACATTCTTCTTTTCTCTCTATCTTTTTGGCGATCCCCCCTCCCCCCAATGAAATAGTAACATTTTTTTTTAGTTGTGCAAGAAAGGATCACAGGTAAACAGTAATCTGACAATGCTATTGATTTCAACAAAACACCCCTACAATCACTTTAAATGGGGGAAAAAATCAAACTCTAGTATTTACAGCAGTGTTATACTGACATGATTGAATATGACTGAATCAAAGAGCAAAAACATTTAAAAAGTGTTCAAAATATTAACAYAATAAGCAACAAACCTATGTATTTTACTTAATATCTCATGACTCAGTTTTGAAATATTGTATATGCATTTACGATATTCTACAGAATATTACAAAAATAAATACTTGAGCATATCTGCTTTTATCTTTCTCAGTGAAGTAGAAAATCATCTTGCACAGTATCAATAAAAAAGCACAAATTCCATTGAAGATACTTTTGTTTAACTTGATTTTTTTGTTTGTTTTGTTACAGATGGATTTGCACACTTAAAATACATTTTGTTACAGTTTATTTTTTGCTCATTTTATTTTTATTTTTTTCAGTTGGAGGATTGTATCAGTGCGAAATGAGATGGCAAACAACACAAAATTTCTTGGACGCCCCTTTTGATTTACAGAATGCAAGAGAGTAGTGACTTTGTTTGCATAAAGAACAAACAATGTGTCAATTACTCACATTTATTGTTCCACAGTGAATCACCACATCTTGCTCAGACCAGTGAGGGGAGCAGAGAAAAAGGGGTTGACATAGCCAGTCACTAATTATCTTGAGATTATGAGGTGAAAAACAACCAAAAAAATGCACTTCAACACTGCAACACACTCTGTCCTAATTAACAACTGTGTGAAAGACGTTGCAGAGAAATGCATTTGCATCTGACATCAACCGCAACACTTCTTCCTACCCTGGAGCATTGTTTGCTTCTGAGTTCCTCTAACAAGCGTGTGGGGTGAGAGTGATGGTTAGAATCTGAACTGGGGATACGTCAGTGCATGTTTATCTCTCTTCCATTTWATTTCAATCATAGACTTCTCTTTGTTGAAGTAATACATATAACATACATATGCGTACACATACACGACTTACTGTGAATATTAGCATTAGGAAAGCTTTGCATAGCTTTACTTACATGTATATGTAAACAGTACTCCCCAAAAGAGACAAAAAGATCTTATAGTTGTAGAGAAGGGACACTGTCATATAAAGTATGCTCAGTGTATTTTCTAGTGTAGTTCA